TGAGTATTACAAGAGATGACAAGTGGGCCTGATCAAAGAGGAAAGGGGTTGCCATGGAGTGGGAGAGGGTAGGAGTTGTATTTGCATACAACTTTAATGAAAGTTTTATTAATTTGCATTTCTATTCAGTCCACTGAAGCCTAGACAGGGTATATGATTTTACACACACACACACACACACACACACACACACACACACACATCATGATACACACATGTATAGCATGATATATATGTTAAAATATTAAAACAAGTTTTTTTTGTTCAAACCAACAAGAAAAACACTAGCTGCACGCATTAGAAACACAAGACCAACTGTAATATGTTGAGTCATACAAGTGGCTATAAAGAAATATACAAGCCACGGAACCAGAAAGTCAAATTTTTAAAGAATGCTCTCTTATTATGTTTATTGCTATTTATTTATTTACTTGCTTATTTTTGAGACAAGGTCTTAAGTAGTCCAGATTGGGGTGGAGCTAAAGCTCACATTGAATTCCTCATTCTCCTGATTCCACTTCCCAAGTTTTGGGATTATAGGTGACTATATATTTTTATTTTTGAGACAAGCTCTAACTAATTTGCTCACAAACACTTTAAAGTTACTCTGTAGGCCAGGCAGAATTTGAATCTGTCGTTCATTTGCCTCAGCGTCCTACATCACTGTGATTACAGGCCTTCCTTTCACTCAGGAATTTTGAGGATAAAATTAGGACTATCCTGAATGATTGACTAACAGTAAAGGGTTGCAAAAACAAAACAGGCTTTTCTAAGACAATGGAATAACATGCTTTAATTGAAATTGATATTTCTGAAAATAATTTTGTGACACAAGGATATGTCACAAACACTGATAAAATGTTAAGTGATAAACATGCAAAATATTTTTCTTCTCTGTATTCTCATTTTTACATGCATAGGATCAATAAGGCTAAGAGGAAAGACATCAAGATATTATAGTTATCTCTGAGCTGTGCTTTAATGTTATTGAGCAAAGATGCTGGGGATTGGGGGTGTGGTTGAATGATAGAGAAAGGAGAGAGGGAAACCAAGATGCTGAACTGTTTTTGCGATGTGTTCCTAATATGTATTATTAGTATATTGGGGACATTTTGCATTCATGGTTCTGCATCAATCATATGGGCTGAAGACAGTTACCTCCAAGCTGTGGTACCACCAGTGACAAAAGAAAGATGCTGAACTGTTTTTGCGATGTGTTCCTAATATGTACTACAATTATATTGGGAACATTTTGCATAAATAGTTTTGTATCGATATATAAGCAAAAGTCTGGAAGAAAGAAGTGGCACATCTAACCATAATTAATTATGGTTTTGCTTTTATAGCAGGAATAAGATGCAGAATTATTTTTGCAGTATGTTCCTGAATACATAATATAAGCGTATTGGGAACATTTTGCATATGTAATTTTGTATCAATATATGGGGGAAGGAAACATGACAAACTTTAGGAAGAAACATGACAAAACTTCAACAGCACTTATGTCTCTGCTATTGCAGGTGATGTTTGTTTTTCTCTATATTTTTATTGTTTTTCCAAATATTATATAAACAGAGTGTTTTTCTTTTATGGCCATAATAAAACTTATTTTATTTTATCTTAGTATACAAGAGTCTACATTGTTTTCTTTGGGGGGAGTAGTTGAAACAGGGTCTCTCCCATTGCAACCCTGGCTGCCCTGGAACTCACTACATAGACCAGGCTGGACTCCAGAGATCCGCCTGCCTCCACCTTTGAAAGTCCTGGGATTAAAGGCTTGTGCCACTACACTTGGCTTTACATTGACTTTTCTTTTTCTTTTTCTTTTTTTTTTTTAGCGTGAACCCCTGACCTGGGGAGGGGGGATTTCTATGTGGGCAGCAGTGGGCCTAGAACACAATAATCAACCTGTGTAGGGGAAACCTACAGGACCTCCATAGGATCTGAACTGCAGATATGTTTTCATTTTCTCTGGGCAGAGGTGAAACATAGCCTGCTTTAGCAAATACAGAG